ACATTGGTGTCAGAAGTGCACTGGCCAAGTTTGCTGATGACACTAAACTTTGGGGCATAGTGTCCACAACTGATCAAGGCTGACTTGGATATGCTTAGTAAGTGGGCTGATATAAACCTGATGACGTTTAATACTGAAAAATACAAGGTACTCCACCTCAGGGGGAAAAAACCCACAGCATGCTTATAGGCTTGGCAGTGCTACACTCACTAGCACCATGGCTGAAAGAGACTTCGGGGTCATGATTGACCACAAGTCACCAATGCAATGTCACAGCTGGTAAAGCAAACAAAACTCTGGCTAGCATCCATAGATGCTTCTCAAGTAAATCTCAGGATGTCATCCTCCTGCTGTACTCGGCCTTGGTGAGGCTGCAGCTGGAGTACAACATCCAATTCTGGGCTCTACAATTCAAGAAGGATATTGAGAAGCTTGAGAGAGTTCAGAGGAGAGCCACGTGCATGATCAGAGGGCAAGAGAATAGGCCTTATGAAGAGAGGCTGAGAGCCATGGGACTCTTCAGCCTGGAAAGGTGCAGGCTCAGGGGTGACCTGGCCTATAAGTACATAAGGGGTGTACATCAGGATCTGGGAGAACGTCTGTTCACCAGAGCACCCCAAGGGATAACAAGGATCAATGGTCATAAATTCCTCCAAGACCGTTTTAGGGTGGACATAAGAAAAAAATTATTTACTGTCCGAGCCCCCAAGGCTTGGAATAGATTCCCTCCAGAAGTGGTGCAGCCACCTACTCTGGACTCTTTCAAGAAATGTTTGGATGCTTATCTTGCTGGGATGCTTTGACCCTTGCTGACTTCCTGCCCCTGGGGCAGGGGACTGGACTTGATGATCTTCAAGGCCCCTTCCAGCCCTGATGTCTATGAAACCTATGATATGCTGTGGGTTTTCTGCAAGTGTTCTGCAAGTTGCTTAGGTGGGCATTAACCTTTACTTCATTTAGTGAGTGGGGATGAGATCTTTGACCTCAAACACTTTGTTTTCCCATTCCTGTTACCAGCTACTGCACCTGATGTAAGCCAGGGATGTGCACCCAAACCACTGACGCCAGCTCACCTTGGAGTTGACTGAATGCATGAATTCCACTGCAGACAGTGACGCTTCAGTGAGAGCGGGATGGAGGCTTTGGTGGCAGCTGTGGAATTGTGAGGGAATACCATGGATGACTGGTGGGACCAAATCAGGGAGGTGCTTAGAGAAAGCATGGTTAGCAAAGTGAATACTGAAGAGATATCATAGACAGCATAAAACAATTCTGTGAGCGAGCCTCATGATGCCATGCCAATCTTGAGGACACCCACCACTTGGAAAAAATGTTTATAATGGAGTTTGTTAGGCACATGACCAATACCCCAAATTGTAAGCGGCTCCCACCCAGGACCAAGCATGTGAGATCCAGTAAGTTTGCTTCTATCCAGGAGGTGACCTTCAGTGAGACCACTGGCCCTTCCCCACCCCCCCAGCAACAACCTCAGGAATACCCACATTGTGTGCGAGTGAGGACCACCCCGACTCCAGCAGACAGGGCCAGGAGAGTGCCAGTATGCTTTAGGGAAGAAGGGGAGGGTCAGACAGAGGATGCATGGCTGGGAAAGAAAAGCATATGATGCATGAGTGCAGGTTAATGCTTCCGGTGTTCAGGTAATGCTGCTGCTGTTCATCTAATGCTGCTGGTGAGGGGTTCTTAGTGCTAATTCTGCTGCTTCTGTAGGAAATTGGGGAGTGGGCATCCTGCATTATTTTGGGTCTGCTTAGGTTATTGTCAATGAAGTAACTGCTTTGGTCAAATGAAAAGGAATTTTCATCCATGTCTGCCTGATGTCATGGGGAGAGCTGTACATACCAGGTTTTGGGGGTGTGGAGGATGTAAGCCAAGCCAAACATATCCTGGCTTGCTTCAGGCACATTGCAGTAATGAAAGATGGCTGTCTTACGGACTGAGGGTTGGAGGGTTTGACTACAAATGGCAGGGTGCAGAAGCAGGGTTGCCCATGGTGCCTCCTGGCAGCAGACATCCTTAGAAAGCTGCTGCCACCTGCAGGGACCCCTGTAGATGCCATAGATGGCTGCATCCAGGATTCCTGCCTATGCCATGCTGCCTCTGGCTCCCCAAGGGGGACCCTGATTACAGATGGCACCATCAGCCCCATAATCCACCCCTAGTTCTTGGTAGGAATTAATAACCACTTGGTTTCCTACCATCGGTCCCTAAGTGCACCTTTCTTTGCCGGTCACAGCAAAGGGTACCTACCAGGTCCTAGGAGCCACACCAAGCTACCACCTCCACCCCTCCACCTCCACCCCATATGGCTGTGGCTGGGGTGCATGCCTGGGCCATGTTTCCCCTGGCTGCCCAGGGGTACCATCGGCTTATAATCTGCCCCTAGTTCTTGGTAGGAATTAATAACTGCTTGAGCGGTTTCATTTGCTCTTCAAAGCAAATGATGGCCATACAGTCCCAGGAGTCCCCAGCTCCAGGAAGGCTAGAGTTGTTAGGCATAACTGGGTGTTGGGCACCTGTCAGGGCGGTCTCTCTGCCAGTCCCAGCCTACAGCACCCCCTGGCCCTGACAGTGCCGCTCACTGGTGAGCTGCCAGCATGGGTGGGGAGGGATGGAAATTTACCAATTTTTCCTGTTTTACCAGGGTTACCAGCCACTCTATGGGTTCCTTTGTCAACTGCTGTTGATTTGGCAGTGAGGAGAACAAAGCCAGGCAGCCTGGCTTGAGGATCTGCTAAACGCCCACACTAAAACAAATGCATGTGCATCAATTCCCTTGCCCTGTACACACACGGAACATGAAGTCAAGTACATAGAAACCTTTATTTACATAATTAAATGCAATTGTTATATTAAGCATGATTTCCATAATTTAGTAATTCACCCCAAAACAGCATTTACCAGGTAACAATAGGCAATGAGAAATAATCAACACATTTTATAACAAGCAATAATCAACAACTGCTGTAACAACAAGCAATAAGTAAAGATCAAAAACTTTTATAACAACTAAGCAATAAGAATTCTAAATTTCTGAACTCGACTCCTGTTCTTCCCCCCTTGTACAGGAATGCCTCCTGGTTTCCAAGCTTGACTCCTGTTCTCTCCCACTTGTGTGGGAATACCTCCAAAATGCAGATGCTGGTACCTGTCTGACCTCCTCTGAGGAAGCCACAGGTGCCATGACTGGTACCCTGCTGCTTTGTCGCTTGAGTCAGCTCGAGTCTCAGCCATGGTAGGCAAGGTCTCTGCAGCAGAGGGCAGACAGGTACGAGCCATACAGCACAGGTATTGATGGCATTGATGATCCTTTCTCTCTGGGCATCATTGACAGCATGCCTATCTGGCCTGCATCTGCTCAGTGGCGGTGTACCAAAAGGAGCTGAAAATAAAGAAATGCTGGAACTAGAGTCTTTTTTGAGACCTCTGCACTCAGTAAATCTTGCGAGAGGGTAAGTAGCGTTCGAGCAAAAATGACCAAGAAGGAGTTGCCTGACCATGGGTGGTTGCAGGCCCTGAGTGGCTACAAACCATTGTCCATCACAGCCTCTGCTGTGCATTGCCCTGCATCTCCCTGCATTACCAACTAACTCACGGGGTCTTTAAAGCGGTGCCTTATGCCAACCCAATACTCCCCCACCCCCTTCACCTTATAGCCCAGCCTAATCACCCACCAGTGTCAGTTTAGGTGACAGGTGACTTAAAGGGTCCCTAGAGGACTTCACATACCAGGTGTGGAGGTCGAGGTTGCAGGTCTTTCCTCCTCTGAAGAATCCAC